TGCTGTGTAGTAACCAATGTTAATCATTTTGTTTCAGTCTTCCCCTCATTGCATGATGACAGGCTCAACTGTTAACATACAGGTACTTCTGTGGTTGGTTCATTGTGTTTAAATGTGTGGTTCTGCGTAAATCTCGTTGTCGATGTGGTACATTGCGTGTTCTTTCATTGTTTGTGTCCCAGGTCCCTGGAAACTCGCATACAGGATTCTCTTTTTATAGTGCATTTTTATACATTCTTTTTTCCAATTCAGTGTAATGAATTCTGCATCAACTTTCTTTCATTTTTTCTTGTTTCTTTTTGTTCTGGCATTATTATTGCAGTCACTCCCCCTATTGTTCATTATTGCATTACCACTTTGCAGTATTCTGTTTCATTTACAACATTATGTTTGATTATTAAGCTTAGATGTTACACCTTTGTTTTGGGTTTGTCTGTCTTGTTTTTCTTTATTTATTAATTAGATCCTTTTGATGGGCATTAAATATATTGAATGGATTTTATTTTTTTATTTTTAAAGAAACATGGACTTTAAAATGTATGGGTGTTTCGAGGAATGTAATTGTCAAGATGTGTTCCTTCAATTTTTCAAAATATTTTTATGATTTCAGCAAACACACATTCAATTTATATATTTCATAGTTTATTAGTTATACTTTATTATCATTATTGCTATTTATTAACTTTTGTTTTTAAGTAACCTTTAATGTTTTTATTAATAACATTATTATTATTATTATTATTATTATTATTATTATTATTATTATTGTTGTTGTTGTTGTTATTATTATTATTTTTATTTTTAATTTAGTACATTTTGAGAGCCAGCTGTTTCATTACTAAAATACATTAGTAAATGTATTTTTTTATTGTACAACTAAAATAAATATTTAACACTTTTCATTTTAAGAAACTCCAAAATTAAGGTATCTGAAAACTTTAGGCAACTAGATAAAATTATTATGTTTGAAATTTTCCAAAACTTCTCTGAATTTGAAGTCTTCAGAGCATTATACTTATTATTGGTACCATTAAATACCAAAACTGATCAATATTTTAGAATACTGCTTTTAGAAAATACTAGAATTACTTTAGCAGAAGACTTCAGTTGCCTAAGAGTCTTGTTAATTTTTCATTGAGAAAGCAATAACTATTTTGTTTGGGGTGTCATTTGTTAAAAAAATAGGAACAATATCTTTTATCAAGACAGGCTGAATTGGAAACAATTTAACTAGTTGTGCTATAATTAATATATTTATTTGTGATAGTTGTGAAGCATCTGGATCTCTCTTCAACTGTACATTTTCTCTTTGACATCAGTTTTCATTAACTGAACTTCTTCCCAGGCTTCCTCATTTTCGTATGGCCTCTGTGTAGTTCTTCCATGTGACTGTTCCAATCAATGTTGTAATTATAATGTATTCTTTCTAGTGTGCAAAAACTCTGAAACTTTATGTTGGCTTTAATTTTACTGTATTAATTGCAATTTCTTCTCTCTTGTAAACTTCCCTTATTTTAATTCATCTCCAGAAAGAAATTAGTGCTACTGAAACCTACAGATGTGATGTCACTCCACTGTATATAGTTTAGAGAGTAAAAAGTGAAGCCATATGATGAACAAAAAGATAAATAAACATTCAAAATCCTAATTGGATAATATTAAATATAAACAATTTTAGATAATAAAGAGCCATGTTTGGATTTATGTGGTTCCTTTTTACACTCTTCAATATTTTGCTAGTTTTTACACCAATCTTCACATTACTGCTTCATTCTTAAAATTTGGAATGATTGGTTTGTCACCTTTGCCATTCTACTGTTTCTTTCTGTTTTTTGGTAATGTACAGTAATCTCTATACATCCTTCCCTGTCGTCTGTGCCTTGTAATTCCACATTCAATTCAACCAGCTTCTTTGTCGCTCTTTTATGAGGCATGAGGGAGGGTCAGCCGATCAGTCACCCTGATAGCTAACAACAACAACTGGATTCTTAAGTCTTTTTGACTATTATACATCCTTTTACGCATGATTTATGTTTCACAACATTACCAAACAAACTTTCAATGTGCTCCTTCTGTGCACATTGTGGCTTCTAGCTAGCTGTTGCCTGGAGTAGTGACTTGAAAGTTTATGCTTTCCTTTTAACCTATGGAATCTGTATGGATGTTTGAAATTAATCAGTACTTTACAAATGTACATACATGAATGTACATATACACATACTCTTCATGAATGTAGATTGTGTGTGTATATATTTCCTGTAATCTGTACACTTGTGCACAATACTGCTTTGTTCACCATCTCTTTATGTGTATGCTCTTATCTATGTGTGTTAACTTTTAATGTTATGGTTGTGTATGTGTATATGTTACAATCAAAGTATGAAACCTTGAAAATATAGAGAATGTTTTAGCAACCTTTCCATCGTTCCTTTCAAAGTGTTATGTAGACGGTGTATATTGTTCTTTGTTTAATGTTTCACTGGAAAATTTGATTTGTCATGTGCAGGTAGTTCAGGAATTTAATAGAAAACTTGAAGTTTAATTATTCAGTGGGTTACACTAAATTATTAGACTTTAAGCACCAACATGAACAATCACATTAATGACTATTAAATTGTTAAAGCTTGCACCAGTGACTGAAGCTCTCTTTCTAGCTTATTGCTGAGAGTTCTATATTCTGTGCTTTGTATGTGCTTGAACTATCACACTTTGGAAAGCTCCTAAGAATAACATTTGTGATATTCATATTATATTTGCTAATTTTAATGATTTTTTATCAAATTTACATGCGCCTTTCCATTATTCAGCATCCTACGCCCCTTGGGATGAAATATAATGTTGCTTAATAAGTTAGAAATTACGATAATTTAAATTATATTCATATCAGTTTTAAAGAGTGGATTCAGTTTATACCAAGTTGTACCTCATGATTCATTATTTGTAGATTTTCGTGTTGATATGAAAGGAGTCGTTGAAAATCAGGACAATATCTGCTGTTGTGTTCATATGCCTACACACATTAGCGTATAAAATGATAGACATTTAATGTTTCATTTAGGTTGAAATGTTCTGTATTTAAATGAAGATGGCAGTGAAATGCTTCTTATTAGCCTGTATGTAGCAGTATAACATCCAGACATTGATTAGAAGTCTTCTAATGCATTCCATGCATGTTAGTTTTCTGCTGTGTTTTTTCTAGTTTTCTTGAAGGTTCATGTAGTTCCAAGATTAGAAAAGTCTTAAAAAATATATTATTCTTATCTAGAAATCCTGGCCTTTCATGTCAAGAATCACCTCTCAATTTGCTGTTTGAACTACAAAATGACAGCGAATTCCAAAATCATTCCATACCCTTCAACCTATTACATATAAATGTATATCTACACTAAAAATGCCTTTGAAGAATGTTTAAAGTTACATGTCTCAACAATTTTTTTAATGTGCCAGTTATATAAATATCCAAATTATATACCTTTCAAATGGTTGATCAGTAATAATAATCCAATAGGGCTTTGCTGCTTTTATATCAATACTATGGGCTAATAACATTTTCACTCAGTATGCAACAGATCATAGTATTTCTTCAAATCATAAGTACATCTGTTAAATCACAAAAGTGTATCTGTTACATATTGGCTGAAGTCATGATATTAAAGAAATCGCTCATTTCTCCTTTCTTCCATCCATTGTCCATTTTGTCTTTGCAGAAATGTTCCTCTCCCCAGCAGCCCACGTCCTTTCACTGTTGACTGATGGCCATGGAAACGTGCTGTGTAAGTGTGTTACAAGTGTTGTAACGCTTCAGTCTAACAAAAGTGTTCTTAGACAGAAACCTGGCACAAGTGAAGTTTTAAATGGAAGCAAATTGTTTTATTGCCCTTTAATTGTTGAAAGAATTATTTTATTTCTTTCATATTTAGGAATTTCAATGGCACACTCTTTTTGGTGTATCATTTTTCTTTTCTGTCATACTGAATGGTTTTGAGGTCGAAATTCTTTCATGGAATAGTTTTAATAGTGTTTCTAAAAACTGACCTAGAAAACTATTCCCTCCTTGTCTGTTATTTGTTATTCTTCTGTGACTGCTTCTTCTTGTAAGCATATGTTCTGGTATGTACATGCCAGTTACATCAGTCCTGCAATTATTCTGTTAGATAAATCAAAAGTGTCTTAGAAAATTAATGTCTCGAATATCAGTCAGTTGTTCATGCTTGAGTGTAGAGTGTAGCATGCAATTTTGTAGTTTACTGTAGCCTTGCTGCTACTTGCTAGCTCTCTGAGGAAATATAGATATGAGTTGTCACAAATCATGAATGCATGAATGAAATATTTAAAGAAAAAGAAATCCATTCTCAAGATGTAACTTCTAACTGATTTATGAGGTACAGTAAAGAAGTTATTTTATTTAAAATGTCACATTGTGCCTTTAGGTCTCTTGGCCCAAGCCAGGTTCTGCTATGAAATTTAAATATATCCCATGCTTACATCACTGGCCTAGGTTTGCTTACTTCCTGAAACTCTCATACAACATAGAAATTCCTTTTTTTCCTTGAATGATGTGCTGCTTGTGGCTTGAATGAAGTTTCTCATTATCAAGTTATGTTATTAATTCATATTTTTGTGCTGGTTCTTGATCAATTAACTGGAAGATTCCACAAAGAGCCTTGCCCAGATGGCATTTTGGAACGTCAAACTCTGTCTGAATAATTGGCATCAAACGTCTGGCATATTTTAAACCATTTCATCTAAATAAAAGACAATTGTTTATAGATAAGGTTATTATTATTAGCATGACAAATTCTGAAAATAACTGAATTTGTTATGAAAAAAATTATAAATTCTTTGAGTTAAGCATCAGTGAAATGGTCAAGAGTTCGTTATAGATATTGTGTTTGAGCATAGGTTTTAGCTTTTGGTGAAATGCTAAAATATACTGACAACCAGTGATTGTGACTAACCAATATTTTTTTCTGGTGTTTTTTCTGCTTTTCCATGCTTTCATTGACTCTTTAAGTTTGTTCATCTGTGGAAAAAAAAAACTGAATAGAAGTATAATCTGAAGTATTGAGCAATCTAGCATTGTGATACCATTTGATTTTACACCTCGATTCTCTTATTGTTCACAATTCTCCTACATTAAATGAAATTCACATTCAGATGTTATTGAGTCTCAAGTACTGTGATAAAAAAAATAGTCTGGAAGCAATTGATTTTATTGATATGCTAGAAATAAGATACAAATATAATTTTTTATTCTGCACACTTTCAGTGGGAACACATGTATAATCACCATCAACATCATATTTTCATATTTCATCTTTTGGATCATTTCATATTTATTTCATATTTATTTCTGACTAGTATGAGAATTTACCTGAAATCCACTATTGGCAATTTTATGTTTTCTGCTCATTCTTGAATACATTTTTAAAATTTCTCTTGTATTGACCTGCTGAAATAATGGTCTTAAAGAAATTGATTTTATAAAGCACTAATATTCAATATCGTAATTTTTTCCTTTCAGATTTATTAAATACTTAACATATTTAATCAACAATAGCTTCAACAAGGATGAATGGATTGTATTCACTGGAATACAACATTATTTGATAAAATCTATTTTTAAAATTAGGGTTCACATACTTACATTGTGCACAAGAGGGCTAGCAATTTCCAGAATTCGCATGCTGGAAATGGCTGACTTAAAGGATGTGAGCACTCCTTATGCTTGTGTGGCTAACTTGACACGAAGCAGCAGATATAGTCTTCCTCAGTGCCCTCCTATGCTTCTGTAGCTAGTTCCTTTGCTTCTTGGTGTTTTATTAAATTTGTAATGTTTTATTGGTTGGTGTTTTGTGTGGCAACCTGTTCAGATTTTGAACTGAGAAGGGTCTTGCTTGCAGGTCTCCCCCAACAACACAGTTCTGTCACTTCCATCTCCTCCTCCAGTCTGGGTGGAGGTGGGAGTGGCAGCGGGAGCACATCAGCCAACTACTACCAGCAGACACCTACAGGGCCAGGCCCGGCTGGAGATCATTCGCAACACAGCCCGTCAAAATACCCTGAGAATGGGCATGATACCTTGTCTGATTTTGTGACATTTGTGTGCCAGGAAGCAGAGAACACGCAGCAAGGATCCCAGGTATCAATAATCTGTGATCTAAATCTTGAAACTTCAGAAAAACTATTAGAATTACTGATCATTTTTAGAATTTATTTTACATAATCATTAAACATATCACAGTTTTGGTATCTCTTGTGTGAGTGGTCTATCCTTTTTTTGTTTATCTCTACTTAAAGTGGGGCCTTACTTATTGAGAGAATTTCCAAGTAAAGATTTAGAATTCTGTACATTTTGAATAGTAAAGTTTCATGATGTAGAAAAAGGGATAAATAATATATTAATTACTTGCTCTGTTTTAGAAGAATGCAACAGTGCTTGCAATGTTCTAGAACACAGAGAAAATCAAACTTTTCTGCCTGAACTATGATGAATAAAAACTGACTATGAATGTTAAGGTGAATTTCAAGTATTAAAGTACAGGATCAATTATTCTGTTAATTGAAATTACTTTTAAATTGTTTGACATCTGTACTAACATGCAATATCATGGAATTTTATTATGTTACTAAAGATTAGGCTCATGATTTTCAGCTACTTCTGAATTTGCTATTATTTATAGTGTTTGATTTTTGTACAATTCCACTAAGTGGCAAGATTTTCTTTCATCAAGGTATAAAATAACCAGTGGTACTTCAACACTTCATACTTTTTTGTGTATTTTCTAATGGTTATGAAATATGATATTGCACTGAATCCTACTACTTTTTCAGACATCTCTTGAAAACCTCTCATTAAGTATGGGAGAATTAATAGAATTCAGTTGACTCCTGTTATAGTGAACTCGGATATAGTGAACACTCAGTTATAGTGAAATTATGTCACTAGCCCTGTTTCTCTTACATTACAAGTAAACATAAGATGATTCAGTTATAGTGAACCCGAACCTCGGCTATAATGAACATAGGAAATACAACATCCTGGAAATTCATTCCCTCCTGGAAAATAATATATTGCCTCAGTGCCACAAATTTCAACACCAGGCAGCTCGGAAAAAGTATTGTTGGCCAGAAGTCATAATCGAAGATGTCTCTCTTGAGGTGAAGGTAGTGGACCCGGAATTGGGGCCTTACTGATGACCTTCTGCCATACAGTTTCACTGTGAAAACAAATACCTGCATGTCCTGCATGGGCTACAACTGGCGGCAGCGTCACGCGATTGCTTCCTTCAATTTTAGGCTTGCTGTTATATTCCATGGGACAAAGTGTGTTATATTCTACATAGGCAACAAGAAGCATGCGACTGCCACAGCCCCACAGCCTGACAACACTCCCTGCTCCGCACGGAAAAGTGATCAGTTTCATTAGGCACTTGTGCCATCCCGCTACTGAAAAGATCTCATATGTTATTTTGTGAGTAAAAGAGCCTTTGAAGAGTGGGATGGTGTTCCAAAATTGCAAGAAGCATTGAAGGTGTCAAGACTGCATTACGATACTTGGAGACAGTGGACAATGCAGAATCAAGTTTGGAGAGAGTATGAACTCTGGAAAAGGATCTAGAACAATTACTAATGAAAAATGTACAAAGCAAACAACTGAAAATAATTGATTTTTATAAGGACAAATAAAGAAATTGAAATTTTCAGTTTGTGCTGTTAATGTATTTTGCTGATTCTCTGTTAATCTTTTTCTCTCAGTTACCTCAAACAGAAAGTCTTTGGTAAAAGTTTACTTTAATAATTAAATTGCTAAAGAAGGTCCTAATATTTTATAAGACATTGGACACATTAGATAGAAGCAACTTTTTGTGAAAGAGAAGTTCTCTGAATGGACTTTCGATTATTACCTTTGTTGATATCCAATGATTTGAAAGTAGACTATGGAATGTAATCTATCATTAATGAATTTCTTCTTAAGAGAAAAGGTACTTTCAATTTTTTTGTAACTATTTTTGTGACTTTGAAAATTACTAATTCTAATGACATTGTTTTGTTGCAGTCTCAACCAGGTCCTTCACGCAGCCCTTCCAAACTGTCACAATACTACCCAAGCTCCATGCTGCCTCCTCCACCGCCTCCACCTATGGCGAGGCCTGTTGCCATTATTCGCTCTACAGGTATGTTTATTTAACACTCAACCAGGCACACCTTTTCACTTCCAATTCATAAGTTCCTCAATGAATTCCTTTCACCACTCTGCTATTCTGAATTAGGGGTGTAAATAAACACAAATTATGTTAAAATATACTTTTGATTGATTCTTTAACCAGTATTCTTGTCACATCTAATAGAAACAAAAAAAATCATTAATTATGAATAATTTACAAAATGTAACATAAAAATTAACTGCAAAAAATAATTATGATGTGAGGTTATACATGAAATAATTCTGGGTGATCAGTAACACCCTTCTTTTCAATAGATTTCATCTTCATTTTTACGTTTAACATATTTCATTTAGTGAATGCTGTTTACATGTAAAATTATAACATATTATTATTATTATTATTATTATTATTATTATTATTATTATTATTATTATTATTATTATCATTATCATTATTATTATTATTATTATTATTATTATTATTATTATTATTATTATTATTATTATTATTATTATTATTAACTTCATTGGCCCCATTGGACCACTTGAGTCGTTCCACTTCCCTTTTACTGTATGGTCGACTGTCGAAGGTATCACCTTGAGGTGAGGATAAATCCTCGAGTTACAATTCTGAATGTTATTCAGAAAGGTGATAACGAGAGATAGAGGATGATGTTATGAGATAGGTGAAGGGACAATCACAAATACACAACCATGCCTGAGGCGGAACTCTAACCCGCGATCCTTCGATCCGTGATCGCTACGGCACTACTGCCTTAGCGATCTCGGCCACCGGATCGGCATTAGAACATATATTATACATTACTGAGGTCACTTCCTTTCATTCATAACTAATACACCATCCTCTCTTTGCAGCCAATTTTCTCCCCTCTATCTGTTAATAAGATCCAAAACTGCAGACATTTTAAAAATAGCTTAACAAACACTCTCAATATACAGATATACACCATAATTACAGTAGTTGCACCTAAACATTTTACTTACATGAACACATATACATATATGATGAATTCTTTTTAACACCATGCAGTCTTTCAGAAAATGAAGCTCAAAAAGTAAACTCGCATATCCCTGAATGTCATTAAAACAACATTTAGGATCCAAGCAGATGTTGATAGAAAGGTACTAGGTGTGATGTGGTGTATTATTGAATTTTCTATGAATTAGAGAGCAAATGGTTGAGCTGCCAGAATTTATCATCAGTCTTGCTTTAGAATTTAAACTCTGAAAATAAATCATTATATGATCAAACAAAAGAAAGAATACATGAAGTTATAGAGTGTTATATAATATATCTGAATGTTTGGTACAAAATGATATGTAATTGACATAAAGAGAAGAGATTTTAGGATTTAAATGAACAACTTGATTCACATTAAATATTTCTTTATTTTTTTTATATTTCTAGACAGAATACTCTTCAATACATATTTTAATAAACTATAAAGGAATATTAGATGTGCTATCTTCACACCAGAAAACTGTTACAGGTGAGCTCACTGTTACAACTGCCAACTCGCCACCTGCCTCGAGCACTCCTCCGATGGGTGGCGAAGGATCTCCGCGTGACAGTAGGGCTCCAGGTTCTGGTGCTCTCAGTCCATCACCTCCAGCTAGCTCATCAGCAGCTCCCTCTGAAGTAGCTCCAACCAGTCGCACTGTAGTTACTAGCCCTTTCTCTGTGAGGAGTGAATATGCTTTTACACATATTCACACTCAACCTGGTCAGGTACAATACCTTTTAAAATATTATTTATAAATGCATGATTGTATATACTGTTTGTTTTAAATAAAAAAAAAACATTCCTATTGTTATAATATTGATTATTTTTTAATATTGTTAAATACATTTTTTTTAAATTATACCATTTAGAAATATAAATGATTATCGAATAATAACATTATCTAAACATTAATTGCCTAGTTTCTAAATGTCAGTTGCTGGGAGGTAAGACATTTTTAATTTCTTAGAAATCAGAGTTTCTTAGACGTTAGAAACAATTTACTGAAAAAAATGTTTTCAAATTGATTTGTTAACACTGAAGTGTTTAGAGAGAATATTTAACATATTGTACTATTATGAAGTTTTGGTAAATGCTGGTAACTATTAATCAAAGGCCAGCTTTACAAAAAGAAGGGAGATGAAAGTTAATTTTCTTGAGAAAATATCCCTCCTCCTAAATTATTTTAAATCTCAGTAATAAAATTCACAGATTTTGTTTCTTTGCCATTTTAGCAGATATGAAGTAATAAGTGAACACAATATTTTTCTTTCAGCTCTTCAGCTATCCGAGCATTAGTCCTGTGGGTGCTATGTCTGGAGTCATTAGTCCCACCAACTTGAGCATGTTTACATCACCAGTGACAACACCACGTACTACACCTCGTAGTACACCCATCCCTCGCTGGAACACCCCATTCATCAGTTTAGATGAAGATTACAATATGATGACACCTCTTATCTCAGGCAATGGTTCAACAGCTGAACCTAATACTGGCACACTAATGGATGATGGTACGGATTCATAGAAATCTTTGTATGCCTTCTTGTCTTGTACTAATTGTAGAAAAGCTACGAAAACAGCACCTTTGTGGAAATCATCTACTTAATTGTTTTGGTATTGCAGGTCTATATCACAGACATGATTTGAACTATTCTTTAGTATTTTATGACAATAGATTTATTAAGTACCTGACCCAGTGGTATAAGGATAGTATTAGCACATTGGCTTCCTAAACACAAAATTCACAGGTTCAAACCTAGCTGGGGACTATAATTTTTGATTGGCAAAAAATTCTCAGTGTGCCATGTTGTGCTTGTGGTATGTAAAGAAACCATGGCTAGATGCCTGTCAAAGTTAAATCCTCCAACACTTCCCGTTCTAATCAGGTATCATATTAGTTTGGCTATGAAATGACACAAGAAATGGATAGGTATGACTGAGACCATTATTGTGTCATTACCCTGGCAGCAAACATGGAGTCAACAAACAACTGGTTGTTTTGTGCACCGAAGTGTTGCCAAATCTAAAAATGCCCAATCATTCAGTCCATATTGGAGGTAGGCAATGGACCTATAGCCCTAGCAATACAAACAACAACAGATTAATGAAGTTCAAATTAGGTCATTCATTAATGATAGGATTTAATATTGTTAAATATCTAATTAAATTATTGATTATTAATAATTGATAAATCAATTCCTTGGAAGATGTTATACTCTGCTGTGATGTTTTCAACTGTTCTAATATTGTCCTTTCATATTTTTCTTTCTTTGCATATTTTTTCAATTCATTCATTCATAATATTTAGGTCTTATGTCTTAATGTTCACGTTTCAACCTCTAGTTCTTAGCTATATTGTATCGTGTTGGCTAAGATTAATAATTTATATAAATGTTTTTGATTTTCCTTCTTTCAGATGGCCTGATTAAGTTAACCTTTTATGGAATATTTTTTAATGATTTTGTTTTATCAATGCAAAATGGTTCTAATGTTGTTCTCTATCTTTAGATCAAGATATTTGGATGGTTAGTTTAATTTTTTGCTTTTAAATTTGAAATTAAACTTTGTTGTTTGTGGTAGTATCGCAATTTGCACGTGTACTTCATACTAGTTTTATGTTTATGAAACATAGTTGTAAATTAATTTCTATGACAATAATTTACAAGTTTGTATTATGCCATTATTATTTTTATTTTTATTATTATTATTATTATTATTATTATTATTATTATTATTATTATTATTATCATCATCATCATCATCATCATCATCACCATCATCATCATCCATCATCATCATCATCAAATTAAATTTGTTCAAAGAGTTGGTTGCCCCAACCGGGACTCGAACCCACGCCTTCTGGTTTACGCTCAGCTGCTCTAACCACTAAGCTACTGAGACAACCAATCCTTTGAACAGATTATCATTATCATCATCATCATCATCATCATCAATATCATTATCATTATCGATATCATTATCTTCTTCTCCTTCCTCTTCTTCATCATCATCATTATTAGAATTATTACCATTACCATTTTCATCGTCATCATCACCATTATCATTATTTTTAGCTTTGAATGTCATTATGTTTTGTTATTCTTAGAGATTTAAATAATTATTTCCCTTTGGGGGACTCTTACAATTTTGCTATCTTTACATGAATTTGATTGATTTTAAAAAAATATTTAATTTTGACTGTAAGATATGTTTTAAGGGAATCTTAAAAGCAAAAGAGTCAACTGTTTGACATAGTGTACATTTATAATATGTTTCATTGGTAGATAGTTAAATGTATTGTTGCATCAATGCATTCCACATTGCTAAATTAATTTAATTCAGTAGAATTAATGAGTTTTAAAATAATGTTGAATGCCAGTGGTAAATTAAGAATAATTTTATCAAAAAATAGTTGTCTCTAGTATTTATCATTTTTGTTAAAATGAATGGATTTATTCTTATTAATTAATATTAAAGAAATAATGTAAGCTAATGATTATGAGTTCATTACTTTGTAAATACTGTGTATATTTGTGTTTTGTTACTGCAAAATGTAAATTCAGCGAATAGGAGAAGAAAAAACTTGTTTTTAAATACATGGCAATTTTTCACTGAAAACTTTTCATTAGGAGAGAATGTATAATCTAAAAGAAACAATACATTTATTCATTACTGATAAACATTTATCACAACAATCAGAACCAAGAGTTTGACTTTATACTTTTGGTTTCCTTTCTGTAAAATCTTTTCCAGATATATTATTAATCATATTTGGTTTTTGGTGCATAATAATGGAGCTGTTTGAAAATTGTCTTGCTGGATAGAATCTTTTTACCAAAATAATTCTTTTTTTAAAAGAATACTAAAGAAAAAGAAGAAATATGATATGAGAATAAAACATTTGAAATTTAAATATTTCGTAATAAGACCTTATATCCTATGATGTAAAATAATGTATGTAATACAATAAATACTTATGACCTAAAAAGTACTAACTTACTTATCTTAGGAATATGTTTTGGAGTTTATGATCAGTTTATGAATAAAAACACGGTTTGTGAATTGTGCAATAGCAATTTTTCAGCTTGACAGTCATATCAGTCATGGAATGAAATTATTGTTGAATAATATGATGGGTAAATTGAAATAATAAGTGAACTGGGCTAATGTTCAAATTACTGTGTGAAGCAAACATTATTCAATTGAAACGTCAAATAAAGTTGCTCCAGTATAACTAAATTGTGTTGCTATGTGTTGTTTATATTCATAAATTGCCCTTAACTGAAAAACCTTCACATTTAAACAAAGAGTTCAAAAAAGTCAAATTGTGCAATGACAGTTTGTAAGTAATACTTACCTGTTCACAGATCGCTATTTCAACACAGTGGTCCACACTAGTGAAGGCATGGATACAAGTCAGGGGATTGGCTCCGGAGGTCCAGGTTCAAATGGCAGTCACAGCTCCAACAGTGGGGCTCAGACACCACCTTCAAGGACATCCAACCCTAGTTCTGCTCCAGCCACACCAGCCAAATCGCAGTCATCTTAATTTGGACATTTAGCAATTTTAGGTTTTGCTCAATATGTTGTGTGTGTTGGCATGGATGGTGCCCTTGTAGAAACTATATCTGGCAATCTTTCCCAAATAATTATGTTGTTGCTCCCAGTAAAAGGTTTCTTTAACCTCTCTTCTCAGAGAGTGTTTATATGATTTTTCTCTTTCTCTTATGATCTATTCAAGCTTTTGTTTCTGTTCTTTTGATTTTTTTGATTACTACAATAATTTAATCCACTGAAAATTTCTGTAATTTGTTTGTACAGTTTTCTTATAATTCTTACATTTCTTCCTTATTCAACCTTCCTGATTTGAGCATGGCAGTTTTGTATAAGATGATTTGGGAAATGAATATAAGATGTGGAATGCCAAACTTAGGGTACCGTAATCTTGTCTTCGTTGTATATATATAATTGTCTTTGTACAGTTCGGAGCTTGGTTTTACAGTTTTGTGTAGGGGAATTCATTGTTTTTCTTGTTACCAAAGACTATTGGTATGCTTAATGGACACTTCCATGAACTTAGTGGTGCAAAGAAGTGTTTTATTGTTATACGAATTTTGTCAATTCTCATTTTTCTAAAATTATTTACCCTATTAGATGTTTACTCAATTTTGTTGTTGTATAGAAATGCATTTTAACTAGTTTGTTGGGATTTATACAATTTAATATTTTTAGAACAGTTGATGTGATTATTTGTGTAGCATACACGGTTTAAGGCTTCTTACACCGAAGTGTGCACCACATTAATCAGTTTGACTTGCATGGATCGCAGTACCTTAAGCAAGTTGGTAACAAAATATACTGTCTGTATATTACATTAACTGAAGTCTATTTATTAGAAATGATAATTTTTGGTATTTCTTTGGATATGTAAATTTAACATTTGTACATTTACAATTACCTGCTTCTATGATTGTTTTGAATAGGTATTTAAGTTTGTTATTTTTATATACATTACATATATTTATATACGTGAATGTAGTATACACAGTGGTGTATTTAGACTCCAGTCAAATAGCTCTGGACCGAAGACAAAAGATTTAAAAAAATGATTGGTGGAATTACTAATTTACTTTGTGGCATCGACAAACAAAACATTTTACAAAGCCGTTGAAATTTCACTTAAAAATGGTGAGTCTTAAAATATCTAACACATATCTGGAGTAATGAATTGTCTTTTAATGTGAAGTTCCTTTTCATTTCATATAATTTTAAGTTGCCAGAATGTAATTAAAAAAAATGTATGATTTCCAAGTTAATTTTATATCATTAAAATCTGCTTGTTGGTTTAATTAGTGCACTATTATTAATTCAAAAATTAAATATTATCTTTGTTTTGTTAAAGATAATTAATTTTGAAACATTCTACTTATTTTAAAGTAAGTCATAAGAGAAAGCATTATAGTTTTCATCAGTATTAGATGCTGTCTAAATTGTAAGAATTGTTATCAAAAGTACACATAATATTTCTATGCCACAGAGAATTGATAAATAAGATTAGATAATATGAATTTGTTCTTGGTACAAAAGATGCTTGAAATTTGATGGATACATCTTAAATACACCACTGAATATACCCTATCAATCAGATGCAAGTCATGTAAAATAGTATGGTATTTATCAACTCATGAGATTTTTTAAAACAAGTGAACAATTATGCATCCAGGCTCGTAGAGAATGACTTAGAAGGGTTCCACACACACACAAGTGCTAGTCAATGTATACATTGTCAGGATGGGATGCTATTGTAGAGATTGTCAAGTCTGTGATATGAAAACCTTGCACTCAGTACGATAGCAGTAAATTATGCTATTTGTTTTTGTGTGCTGCTCCCACTTTTCCATTCACAGCCCAATAGTACAGGCTTGCTCAAGAACAATTTTAACAAATTTATTTAATCTTATTTTATTTAATTTTTATTAAAATTTGATACATTGTTTAACTTCAATATTGGCTAAGTGGTAGACAGCAGTCAATGTTCTTGAAGAACCAGATGTGTTACAGCAGATTGCAATGACATCACTTGTAGCGAGTTAGAAATAGCAAGTAGCAGGATTTGTGACTTGCATGAAGATGAGATATTTCATGCAATTTGGCTCTAGTTTCTCTTGCCAAGTAATATACGAGATGCCATACATTGGGAATCTACATTTACATTAAAAGATAGAAAGGGGAAATTCTTCATGCATGTAAAATATATACATTGTTATTATTGCCAATAATAACATATTGTTTGTGCCATCTGAGGAGTAAGATTAATATTATTAAGAGTAATACTTATGATCATAAAATAATAGTTTCTGTCATAAAGACAGCATTTTAGTTCAACTCTTGTCATCTGATACTAAAGGCAATTTTTTAAAAAAAATCACCTTGTGATTTGAAGGTGGGGAAAGGAGTTTGCATGCTCCAATATGTAGTGAACATTGTTTATAATTGATACAACCTAACTTATTGCATCTTCAGCTTTAAGATATTTCTATACCCCGTTTATGACGAGAACTTTAAATTTATCAGTCTGCTGATAGTGCATTAGCTATAGTTTAAAGCAGGTCAAGTAGAAGGTTTTAGATTAGAAAACATGCACTTGAGTTCAGGCCACTAATTAAAAATGCACATGTTAATTATCGGAACCTATGAAACGGTCCCAGTCATTTCTATCTTACCAAAGAGAATCAGCCGTCATCCCATGTTAGAAGCTTGTTGCAGAGGTACTAACCTTGACTAGCATAGCATAGTAAATGGGGTTGGGTTAAGTCATAGAATTATCTTCATCTGGAAAGACTTTTTGATAAATAGTAACTTGTTATATATTGTTACATATACCCATTGTTGATAATATTGCAAATTAGTTGGTTGTTTCTTTATTCATAACTCTTATAACAAAAGCTCAATTATTAATGTAAATATACAATAACCTTGTGACAAGGTAAGCTCTGAAGATGGGTAGTGTCCCAATTTTTATAGGAAACCTTTTTAGCATTTTTTTTAAATGGAAAAAACACGAATATCTTCTGTGCAGTGTTGTAGAAATTAACTTAGAAACAGACACCAACATTATAATATGCTGCTTATTTTTATAGGATATCATTTTGCCACATTTTGGCTGTGTTTGGTCTATTATAAATATATGGACTGTGAATCTATAAACAATTTAAACTCATGTGGCCCATTGTTCATAAGAAAATAAGGATATTATTACTTTACTAGAAGTTTAGTCTTCCTATATGCAGGCATTTCATGCAGTAATACAAGCTGCACCATTATAGCAGCGTATTTACAAGAGTTATTCTCTTTAATAAGAAGTACTCAAGTCGGCCAAACCAAGGAATGTTCTTACTAAGTAAAAATTTAGCTGAGGTAGACTATTGTTTTCAAAGTAGAAAGATAAGGCCAGAAACTGGTTATTCTTTCTTTATATAAAGCGGTGCACTTATGTCTGACAGTCATCTGTTCTCATCAAGGTTCAGTGCTTAAAATATTATCAAGAGAGAGCAATTGGAAAGTGGCTCAACCTGTGCAATGCTTGGTGACATAAATATAGATTGGAAAAAATTCAGTGAATTGTGTGCCACCACTTGTAGAAATTGCATTTCTACAATGAATTAAACTCAAATTGCTATGGCCTGTGCATTGCTGATGTCTTACCTGAGATTTGTAGCATGTAGTCTTTCTTTTGAATAGACTATGGATAGCATTAAAGGAAACAAAATGTTGCCTTAAGTTGATTGAATTTTTAATTTCTAGGTTAGCTAGAGTCAATTGAAGAATTTGATATGCCCATTATTGAGTTGAGTTTTGCTGTTTCATCATACAGATTTCAAACTGTCATCTTATGACAGTTTGTACAAAGCAATAACGTGTAACATACCTGTAGTGCCTGAGACAGTACAGATAACAACGGAAGCCAAGCCATGCTGCTACCGGTGATCCATTTTTGGATACTGTTGGTAGCCCAGTCAAGATTTTTTTTGCAAGAAAAATGAAAGTAGAAATTGATAAATATGAATCAAAGTTGCACAGTTGGAAACAATTGTACAGCACTTTGGAATATGTTCACTGCTCACTCCAACAGAGTGTGCTGTGTATGTATATATCTAGCTAAACAGATTATACAAGAAATACATAAAGGGCATTGGTTACTAATAACTATTTGTAAAGGGTTGAAAAATATTGTGCTTTCATAGTGAATCATCTACTAATATTGATAATAGTATTAATAAGTATAATGAAAATAATAGCTAATATTCTCTCAGCATTCTACATTGGCCATGTATTGCACCTGTGTCAGAGCAAGGTAATTTGTTATAGCTCTCGTATTCTATCCTTGTAACTGATCTTATTTATTTTTTATGAACGATTTTTCATCAACTTGCTGTAAAAAAATATACTTCCGTAGAGAAGAAAAAAGTTTTAATTTTGTCTCTTTTTATAGACAATATTTATCTTGCTTTGACAATTGAATATATGAGAAAATGATCTTCAGAGATATGAATATGAACTCTAAACTGCCTAAATATATATTGCTATTTACATTGGTAACATCCCTTCTTTGCAAATTAGTCATAACTTTTCTTCATATTTCTGCTTCTACAGTAGTATAGCCAACAATACATTCAAATCTTTCTGCCAAATGTTTATAAATTCTGACTTGTATATAAATATCTTAGTGTGGTATTTCTGTATGCTAATGTTTCTTTGAGACCTGTTACAACTATTCCTGTCTCAATTTGTCATAAGTTCTGATACTTGCCTATATCTCTGAGGACATTCCATTTCATATATTTTCATTTCACCTTTCATATTCTAATTGTAATTGGACATAGTTAATTGTCATTACTGCAAGAAATGTCCAATGGTATATATTATCACTTATGCTGTTGGTGTCTGATACAGAGCCAATGTATTGTGTTCTGGGTACTGAATATTATGTAACATATATGCAAGTAGTGCAGGTTATAGATAATATCCTAACTGAATTTATAAGCTGTCATCAGTTCTCATTGCACTTTTCTCCATATTTCATTTGGGAGATCCTTGTATCCTCTACTTTACTTGTTCTTATTCTTACTCAAGTTTTACCCATACTTATGAACCTCAGCCAAGGGAGTGTTCCTCCAGGACTACATAATTTTGTTGATACTAAAGCATACAAGGTACTGAGTTTTATGTATTAGATACTTTAGGAGAAATGTTTTTCTTTGTATGGAGGCATGTTTAGTGTTGTCTGTGTTGGATTACGTAATGAAGCCACACAGCAACTTGTTTAAATTAGACTAGTATTATTGGAATCACTAGTATTGCTAGTGTTTCCAAAGAGATTGCAATGGTTTTATATTAGGCCTTAATATAATGGGAGACTGGGATATACTTGTTTGCCAATTCAGATGACGTTTTGACGGTACAAATTGTCATTGTGATACTACTTTGTTTTATATTAATCTGACTATGTAATGTATTGTTTTGGTAGTGCATTTGCCTTGGATGGTATAGCCAGAGACCAATGTGTGATTTGTTTTGTTTTTGTTGATTAGTTCAGTTAGAGAAGTTGTATGATGTTTGTTGCACTAGATCAACATTTAATCTGTTCTGCTTCTTTCATTTTTATTCATTCCTAACAAAACCTTCACTTGTTACCCCCAGAGCGTGTCCATTCTAACATGACCCAACCCGCATTACCAATTTCTTTCTTCATACACCTGAACAATGTAATAGATGGCTCAAAGCCTGCAACAAGCAACTTGCAGTGGTCTCATTCTAATCTAATAAATATTCGAGGAAGGGAGAAGGGATCAGTGTTTTCTGATTTCCTTATACAGCTAATGGGCATATGTGATTTTTGTTGTGTCTATTTTCCTCTTCACAGATTACACTGAGACTACAGACATTGTGTAATTTAAAAATGTTGTAGGCACTTACGATAACTGTGTGAGGGATTTGCAATTTATCCTGGGAATCTAATGTCTGCACAACTTGAATATCCTCTCTCTGTATATGCTACAAAATGTTTACTTTTAAATACCAGTTATTTTCTTCAATTGCAATTAATAATTGATAAAGTCATACAATTTATTTCAAAATGCCAAATATATTTTGTTGTTTTAAAAATAATTCACAAGCAAGGTCTCATTAGTCCAAGGTACTGACACAAGGTAGTTATGCAAATTATACCCACCTGTACAAACTATTAGTTACACAGAAAAGCATAACAGGAACACTGTGGGACCAAGAGACCTATATACAGAACAATTACTAAGTAGTAGAAATATTTAGGAACAGACATTCATCATCAGTATTCCTGGGTCTAATAATACGTTTTAGTCAGACTCAAAATCTTCAGCATAGCATGTTGCCTTGGCATATAAATTTAGAACTACCAAATGAGATTTCTTAAGGGCACTCTGTACACCCATAGATCTAGAAGATGATTAAAAGGGTATCTTCAAAAAATTTCATTTTTCTATATATATATATATTGTGAAGATGCCTTGAGGAAAGTTTAAATAGAGTGTGTTTGTACATTTTGTGTGGTTGTGTTTCTTATTAATGACAGTTATGCTCATTAAGAGCAATTTCAGTATCTCAACATTTTAGTTTGTACTGTAAGTTTTCTAGCTCAGTATCGGTACCATAAAATTAATTTTTTAAAGGAAAGCTTGATAGTTTAAGTTCGTTATTATATGTTGTTTTAGGCTCATATGAAAACATCACCTATTTCTGCTCATATCTGCAGGCTGGATTTTGGGTAGAAAGTAAATTTCAAGCTGAAAACTAATTTTTATGGCACAACATGGGTAAGCAGTTTTGAAGTTTTTAGGGTGTATGGAGCACCCTTGACTTGAACTAGATTGTACGTGACTTCATATTTATTGGAGATTTCATTGTTTTGTGTTTATTTTGCATTACACCATATCCATTTCCCCCCATGAAGCATCAAAGCTTTGACAGGATACATAATAGATTTTGCAGGAATTGTGGCTACTTTATTGTAGTATGTTGAACTGAAATAAGAATAAGTTGTGTGCTGGAAGATCTCATAAAATGAGTTAAACACTTGTCATGAAGTCTCAAATTAATATCTACTTAATAAGCAAGAAATAACTTTATTGCTGACATGTACATTGTGTTGTGTTAATTTCTTCGATACAAAGGACATAAAATACCAGAGGGTTTGTCTCTGTTGTTGAAATCATTATGTGATTTTATTGATTCATTATAGAATACCATGTTTTAGAGCATGAGTTTTCATTTGTTATAAGCTAAGTTGTATCAATATTTTGTTCTATAAATATTATACACAATTCACTTCTGTTTTAATGCCTTCTTGTGCTGTAATGTGAATTTTCTTAGTCCAACAGGTGGCATATGATAACAATGTTACTAATTTGTGGCTGGTTTTCTTTGTTTGAATATCTGGGGGGATGGAGAATGTCACCATGATGATATTCTTCCTTTATTTTCTTCGTAAAATAGATTCATCCTTTTATATGATATTTGTATAGTTTACATACAATACATGCAATGTAATGAACACATATGTCAAGAAAAGGATACAATATTGAAAAGGATTTGCAAATGTTTGTCCTATGTATAGTTGATTGAAGTGATTTTGTTATGTTACCATCTCCAAACCAGGGACTCTTTCCTTGAAAATCAGTATTTTTTATAGATTTTTGAGGGTAGTGTTCTGAAAATCATTGGAAATTGTATAATAACATAAATTATATACTATTGTTTTCAGACGTGTGTACCCTTTGCAAGTGAAAAAACAGTCGCTGATTTTATGTTGGAGATGGTAACAAAACAGTATTGCTTCTTTATGTATACTGGTCATTTTGCAAAAAACAAAAAAAAAAACAACAAACAAACAAAAAAAGCTACAACAAAAAAAGCAACAAAAAAATGAAAAACAAACAAACAAGCAAAAAAAGCAAAAACTATTGAGGGTTAGTAAATGATGTATATCAAGTTTGGTTAATGTTTGTAAAGTTCTTGATTTGTTGGAATTAAGTTTTTAATGCATCCATACATGATTGATTTTCTTGCGCAAGTTATATGTATTTACCAAATAATTTAGCTTATTATGGAACTCAGTAATTTGCAAACTTTGGTCAAACAATTATGATGGTAATATGATTCTCTCATCACGTTGTATGCCTGATTTTAATATGATTATAATGTCTTTAAGATACTTTCACTGATACAGAATCTTGTTTGTTTGATTCTGTTAATGAAAGATGAATTTTAAATACGAAAAGTCTAAAATCTTACCAAGTATTATTTATTTAATACAAATTAATGGGCACATTTATAATGAATTAGAGACTGTGCATGTATTTACATATATAATATGACATCAAAGAAAAATTAATGCAAAAGTAGCAATAAATTTACAAAGGAAGAATGCTCATGTTAACTTTAAATATTTGTGTTTTTATGGAGAAATTCCTGCATAGTAAGATAACATTATATTGCACGATTCGAGATTCTGGAGTGTCTGGGTAGGCAGTACTACTCAGAAGAAAGAGAAAGAAAAACTTTGAATCAAATGTAGATATGAAAACACTATGCTCTGTGACTCCTGAATTACCATGCCTCTCATTTGCTTGTAAAATTGAAGATTCTATGGAACATTTAAATTTTGCTCATCTTTGTTTATCACATATGACTGATTGGCGTTTTCTCATCACTATATACGTACATGTGTGATATTATCTCATGGAGTACAAATAGGGGAGAAGTGGTTTGTTCCTGATCTGTGTCATGTGGTAACCTGAATTCATGCAATGTCGAGCATATATAATAAATTTTTATTGCAGACCTGGAAGGTAACAAACTTTATAAATAATAGTATTGATAAATAAGGTCAATAAATATGGTGGCGTGGTTGTGATTGTCCCTTCATTTATTGCTCTTCAGAATTTCTGTTTCAGAATTATTTGTTATAACAAAAATGAAGAATTATTATAAAAAAAACTTCCAGTTATACTTAAGAATGCTTCAAATGAAAATATTTTGAGTACGTAATTTACATTACAATAAAACATCACAACACAAGTCTTGCAAACCATCATACTTGTTTCAGAATTAAAAGAAAGAACAAGCAAAAACAAACAAACAAAACACTTCAGTATATTATTTGAACATAAATTAAATAGTTTTACTCAAAACATCAGATCAAGTGCATGACATATAACATTAAATATCTAAGTTATTACTGAATATCTGTTTGTTACTCAGATTAAAGAACAATTAACAAGGAATATTTACACAACACAAATATGTCACTTATTCTCATTAGTAAGTACGAGTCATTATGGACACTTTAGGAAGCACCTTTCTTGAATTTGTTTTTGCTGCAGCTTCATTTATGGTATTCAGTGGATGACAATTATCAGTAGACTCTCAAGGATTGTTGCTTACATCAGTAAGATTTTTGACAATTGGACCCAAAACAGAGCCCACATATGATTGCAAAGCTTCACATTTTGCTTTTGTTTTCACATCATTCCAACTGCCCCAAATAACTACTCCGTTGACATCCATGTTTTTAGGAGTTGCAATAGAAGTATACAGTGCTTCCTAGAATCAGAAAATTCAATAACAACACACAAAACAAATAATTTTATATAATGAAATAATATTCTTATCACACATTATTTGCAAACTGTCACCTCAGGCATAATTACAGACCTACCAAGAATACCTCAAATATGACATTTTCTGAAATATTATGATGGATTCTCTTAGAAATATCTTCCTTACTGAAACATCTTAAGTCACCAAGTTTCCAAAAATTCTATTGGTTATCATAAATATTGGTTATAAATATACTTTTCTAAATACTGTAGAACACTGAAAACCTGGATTAATTGACCCCAAACACATGATCAAATTGTCTGTACTATCGAAATGAACTAATAACTGGGCTGCTAGTTGTCAACAATGAATAAAAGAACTGTTCTAAAATTATTCATAATTCACTCTGATGACTCTATAATACAATACTGGAGTAGATGTAGTAAACTTTTTACATTTTGACTCACAGAATACTATATTGTATTACAGTAAATCTAGGCCTGCTATGAAATACGTACAGTATGAGCAGTACTTAAATAAAATTATTGTACTTACAATAAATCATTCATTATTTGAACTTTTAAATTCTGAGAAATTCCCTGTAAATCCAGTTTACATAAATAAGATTACATTGTTACCAATAACAGTTTTTATTTAAAATATAAAACTTAAATTATCTTATTTAAAGCTTATTTTGTGTGTATGTGGTTGTATAATTTTCTGCAATCAGTAGTTTCAAAAAAATTAAGTTATGTTGACACTTTTAAACAAATATAGTGACATACAGTATTATCATAATGTGATTTATTTATTTTTTTTTTTTAGCCAGAATCAAATCAGGATTATTAACAGGCCGGACTTTTGACATCTGAATTATTGATATTCAATAGAATATCAGTTCAGAGAACAATTTTCATAATTCATACTCTACCAATTCATCACGGTAAAGCATTGTCTTTTCAAGGAAATGCTTAATTGACAAAAACTCTTAGGAAAATAAATTAATGTTTTGTATTGGAAATATTTTTGGCAGAGATTTTCAAGAAATTACTTGAATTGAAAATATACATGCTTCAATTTTTTTAATATTGTGTTTTCAAATAATAATAATAATAATAATAATAATAATAATAATAATAATAATAATAATAATAATAATAACAACAAAAACAATAAATAAAAATAAGAGTAATAATAATAATAAATAAAATAATATAAAAATAATAATAATAATAATAATAATAATAAATAAAATAATATAAAAATAATAATTCAGCCCCAGGAGAAATAATAGTGGCTGGAGACTTTAACAGCAAGTCCCCGGAATGGGGTGAAAGCAGAACTGATCACAGAGGCGATATTGTTTACGAATTCCTGGCTAGGAAGGACCTGGTAGTCCTAAACAGAGGGAGCTCATGTACATTTCAAAGGGGCGCAGCTTCTTCAATAATAATACTATATCTATAACTTGACAATAGGAACCACAAGGATTGCCAAGAATGTCCTGGATTGGCAGGTTCTCGACGCTGAAGCACTTAGCGATCACCGCTACATCGAATTCTCCACTTCATCTGCTGGAAACAGAGCTAGAAGAATGAATCAGCTAAACATCGGTCAATCATGGAACACCAAAAAGCTAAAAGAAGCTGATGCCATAAAATTCCTCGATGAAGCTAAATTACTGGAGTCCGTGGGGTGGAGTAAAAGGAAAAGTGCAGAGACCTTCGAAGAGGTAGTACGGGAAACGTGCGAAACCGTTAAAAATACGTGTGACCTCTCAATGCCCAGACGTAGGAGCCCAAGGGGGAAAATCAGGTGTATTGAACAGCGGTTCTTGCAGAGCTTCGTAAAGCATGTGTTAAAGCTCGAAGACTGGCAACAAGAGCTAAAAAGGACATTCTGCTGAGGGAAAATTACAAGACGGCCCGCAAAAGACTAAAATCGGAGATTAAAAGAAGAAAACAAAATGCTGGAAGGCCCTATTAAACAATGTGAACAACGACCTCTGGGGAAAAGCCTACAAGATTGTTATGGGCAAATTTAAGCCTCCAACAACCGCGGGGCTGGAAGACCCCGCATGGGTGAAGGCAATTATCAAAGACCTTTTTCCTAGCAGAGAATGCTGGGTAAGAAGCAGACCTTGTGACTACCTCTTCGACGAAGCCAACTGCTTCACGAAGGACGAACTAGTCCAGACGATGAAGAAGACCAAGATTAGAACTGCACCGGGACATGACGGAATTCCAAACGCGATCCTGGGGATAGTTGTAAAAGAATACCCAGAATGCCTTTTGAAAGCCTTTAACCAGTGTCTGAACAAGGGAAATTCTATAAGGGTTGGAAACATGTATGTATATATAGTACGGAGTTGCTCTACAGCTGTCGCCGTTTCTCCGCTCTCAGTCGCCATGCCTCTCTATTGGACCATAGATCATCTGGCAATTCTCTTGCCGTCATAGCCTCTTGCACTCCCTGCTGCCATGCAAGTCTGGGTCTTCCTCTCTTTTGTCGCTTCTTCTATTTTTATTTCGTATTTATTTTGCTAATACAGTCTACCTATAGATCCAATAACTGCTATTGCCTCGTGTTAAGTTTGTATCATTGTCTCTTTAGATCCTTTTCTATGATTTTGGTGTAGGTAGACCGGTTTGCCACTCCTGAGGAGGATTTTCTCCATTCATGCACCTAAAACATGGTTGAGGCATTTGGTGCAGTTATAGGCACCATATTCAGTAATTCTGTCAGTACATCTCCCGGACCAGGTGCCTTATTGGATTTCATTGTCTTAAGTGCATTTTCTAATTCTTTAAGTGTCAGATCTACCCTTTGCTCAATTTACTTCCTGTGTGCTTTGGAAGTTTCTGTTTTTCTAGAAGCAGTCTTCGAAATACTCTTTCCATTTATTGTTCCAATTGTTTGATAATGCCCATATTGTTTTTCTCATCGATTTAATAGATGATTACTTGCCAGGCTTCTGAGCCGTGCTCCACCTATGAATTGTTCTATATATGCATTTTATCAGCCAATAATTTATTCTTCCTTGATAACACTTCTTGTTTTACTCTCTACTTACTGCTTTTGCTACGGTAAATTAGTTTCGTTTTTTTGTCACGTAAGCCAGTTTTAAATAAGTTGCTCTTTTCCTCTTAATCTTGCCTCTAACTTCTGTCCCCAATACTGTTCATACAATCTTGGACTTCGAGCTTGAAGTTTTTTGTTTAGTGACACCAAGAGGTCTATTAAGGATTTTAGTTTTTTTTGTAGTTGGCTACCAGGTTTTACTTAGATGAACTATCTTTATGTTGGAATAAACTGTGTGTTTAATTTCATTTCAATACTCTTCACAAATGAATAAAAAGTCTTCCCATTGATCATTGCCAAGTTTCCTCACATGTTGACCCACAATATTGTTCTTGTCGTCGTCCAACTCTGTCGTTAAAAATCTCCTGAAAATATTATTTCCATGCAGATTTGAATACCATCAAGGGTTTCTTGTCATTTGCAAATCATCTTTCTTAGCCTTGGGGCATCATCATTCAAATTATAATTCTATGCACTTACTGTTTTTCCTCTGATATTTTAACACTACTTTAATAAAACGTAGTTTATATACTCCCAATATTTTTTAACCGAATCTTTTCACAGATAACACAGAAATCCGGCTTGCATTTTCATGTGTTGTTTGACGCCACTTGTAAAGGCACAAAGTTGTTCAGTGTTTCCCTTCCTTTGCCTTTTTTGTTTTCAGACCAGACGGCTATATCTATGTTTTCTTCTCAATCATTTCCGGATTGACTTCTTTGTTGTTTATTTGATATACTTTGTACATGCCATATACCAAATCAAGAGTGCGCAGTTGCTTTGCTGATGCTTTCGTTTCCTTTTAAAATATCCGAGCATTTCTATAACTGAGATTTTTAGCGTGTGATGTCTTACGTGTGCCAGGGTGCTGGCCACAGCACAACCCCCAAACCTGGAGGACCGGAGCTTTTATTTCAGGTTCACAACATTAGGCCTGATTGCTCACCATAGCTTAAGGAGTCCAGCCTACCTGATCACTTTTAGCGATGAATTACATTCCAAGGATTAGTGATGCCACCTTCTCCTGTTGAACCACTCCCATTGCATACTTGGATGCTTCTGGGGCGCTACCCGCGTAAGACCCTGTCACTACATTCTAAAGAAATAAGGAAGGGTAATGAGGAAGGACTTCCCTAGCCCTCCGAAAACCTATAGCGTCGGGTGTCAGAAAAAACAAGAGTTTGGCCAAGGAGAGACCGATAGAATAGATGAAAAGCATTGTGGCACAAGAAAGTTAAAGATGTCAGCAATGGTAGATGAAAGAACCATACGATATGAACACATCGTTTATGGGAAGGACCAAAAGATAGGAAAGGAATGTACGATTAAGATGGATGGATAGGACGTGGTAGGACACGACTTTAGTCGCGCCCCTCAGTTTTTGGCCTGTCCGCATTGGGTGACCCACGCAGTAGGTGCATGCCGTAGAAAATAGTCATGTTACCGCCGAGCTTATCTCCACCTCACTGAAGCACACAAAGCCTCCCGCCCGCAACGGGACAGTGCTACTTCAAGTCGGTGTCCTCAGGGAGGATCAGAATCTAA